TCTTTTGGCCATTTGAACTTCTTCTGTTGAGAGATCTCTGTTCAACTCAGTGCCCCATTTTATAATTGGGTTGATTAGCCTTTTACGGTCTAGTTTCTTGAGTTCTTTATATATTTTGGAGATCAGACCTTTGTCAGTTGCGGGGTTGGTGAAGATCTCCTCCCAGTCAGTGGGTTGCCTTTCTGTCTTAGCAACAGTGTCCTTTGCTTTACAGAAGCTTCTCAGTCTCAGGAGGTCCCATTTATTCAATGAGGCCCTTACTGTCTGTGCTGCTGGGGTTATACGTAGGAAGTGGTCTCCTGTGGAAGCAGTGTTTTTATTACTGATTGGAAGGAAGGTGACTTAGGGAATGCTTCCTGATGGGTGGAACTGTCACACACTTTCAGAGAGGCCTGATAACACTTTGCCTCTTAGTGGTAGTAGATCCTTGAATAAACTTTAGTTACATGGATTATGGCAAGGGACAAGGAATTGTGAATGATTAAAAACAGCACACTTGCATGTCAATTACTACTAAATACAAAAGCCAGGCTCTCTTCCTAAATCTCAGATGCAGACTCAATATATCATCTTCAAGGTTTCCAGCTAGGAAAACAAAGAGAACCATGCTTTAAGCTCCACAATAAAAACAAATATAAAGTTCCAGGCTTAGATATCAAAGCCCAGAGCTGCTTAAGAACAGTGAATTAAGAATACGTCCCACTTTCTGCCCCTGCTCAACACACTTCTGTTCCACATCTAAAATTTATACCCTCCAGCCCAGGTGAATAGGTCAAATGAAGGAACTTTCCCAGCCTAGTGTACGTCTGGCAACCACCTGGGATATGGGAGTGCATGCATTATCCTATATTTAGATACATACCATGGATTCCCAAGAGAACAGACTCGAGTCTGTAGAGGAGCAATGACTGGAGAGTTGAATACACAAATTCTTCTCTGCTTAGAGGTAAGTGTTTTCTACACACTGGTGGTGAAATGCTTAGAAAAAAACCTGCAGTATCCAAGAGACTTGGGTGGAGCTTCCATTGCAAATCCACATCTCTAAATGAGTCAGATGGACACACAGAGTTCAGGAGAATGAAGTATTCATACGGCTGATCTGTCAGCGGGTATACTATAAAAGTCAAGTTTCTAAAGATCCCGGATGGTGGTTGTGAAGAGCCAGGTGGTGGTTGTGAATGCATTTAATCCCAGCACTCGGGAGGCAGAGACAGGTAGGTAGATCAGCCTAGCCTACAGAGCAAGTTCCAGGACAGGATCCAAAGCTGCAGAGAAACCCTGTCTCAAAGAATCAAAGAAGATCCCAGATGGAGAGACGTGAAGTGCCAAAGTATTTGGGGAAGTAAGTGCTTACAACCTAGAACCTAACGTGGTAAGTACTGTCTCTAAGAGCACAGCCCCTAGGTGGCAGACCTGGAATGTACATCAGTTTCCTCCGTTAATATCTGAAGGGCTTTGGTCAAATCACTCAGCTCTAGAAAACTAAACCAGTTCACCTGTGAAGGAGCTGGAGGGAGACTGCTATATGCTAACACAGGAAACTGGGCTCTGTTAGCAGCAAAGTTAGGTGCAAGTAACTAGGAATACTTAGTCTACAGAAATTCAGCTTTCATTGTCACAATGCATGTATGTGTATGTGTGTGTGGGGGGGGTTGTTTTGGGGGTGATGAATAACCACAATGCCAGGAGGTCAGAAGACAAGTTTAGTCAATTCTTTCCTTTCACTGAGGATCTGAGGTTCCTTGCACAGGTAGGATCAGGTCAGACTCACAGCGAGCACTTTTACCCACTGCATCATCTTGCCAGCCAAGAATGCACTCTTAAAAGAACCTGAGCTGGGTGTGGTAGCCCATTCCTTAATCCCAGCACTTGGGAGGCAGAGGCAGGCAGATCTCTGTGAGTTGTAGGACAGCCTGCTCTACAAAGAGAATTCCAGGACAGCCAGGACTGATACAGAGAAACCCTGCCTTGAAAAACAAGATCAACAAAGAAAGCTTATAAGTTCCAGGCTGGTTGGAGCTACACAGAGAAAACATGCCTCAAAAAAACCTTTAAAAAAAGAAAAATCTGAGGACAGGGATTGGATATGGCACAGTCAGAAGACAGAGAGTGTGGCTGACATACCCAGGGGGCTCCACTGGAAAATGACTCTTCCTTTCCCAGAAGGTCTCAATTGCAGGTGACTTCTTGGTTAGCGGTGGGACCCAAATCCACCCCCACCCCCCAGTTCTGGGAGCCCATCTGGCTTGAATTGTGTCTTGTGCATGCCTCAACAGTCTCTATGAATTAGTAAGCTTACCAGTCCTGTTATACTGGAAGACACTTTCCTTGGAGTCATCAGAACCTCTGGCTTAGAATCTTTCAGACTCCTCATTTCCTGAGCTTTGATGAAGACAGTCATTTAGGACTGAGTGCTGAAGTTTCTGCTGGGATTAAAGGTGTGTGCCACCATCGCCTGGCCCCATTGCTTTGGTTTTAAAACAGCCTGTTTTTCATTTCATTTTATGGTGGTCTCAGTTTTTCAGTGATCTTCCTGCCTTTGTCTGTCAAGTGCTAGAACAACAGTTGCACACCGTATCTGTGAGGGATACTTTTAATGAGTAAAAACCTTATCTTCTGACCACAATTTTCTTGTTTAAATTTGCTCAGGGGTGGTAGTCATCAGCAAGTAAACTTTGTGCTTTCTTTAGTTCATTTTTTGAGTTACTATTAGTTATAAAACTACCTGAGACCTGGATATTTAATTTGCATGGTTTCTATGGAAACTGTTAAAACAATAAAATTAATCTATTAGGAGTTACATTTTAAACAACATACCACCCAAGAATTTCTAATAAACATTATTTTTTCTAATAAACTTAAGCTTCAAAACAGGCTTTGAGAGACAGTCAGTTGTAATCTAAGGCTCTGGGAATACATAACCTGGGGCTTCTGGGCCACATGCAGCTGCATACACCAAGGATAGCTCTACACTAAGGTCCAACACGAAAAAATGTAAACTTATATAGCATGATGATGGGGTGCTGAAGGTATGTTTGCATATGAAATTTGTTAAAGATGATTCAAAATGGGCATGCCTGAAGCCAACTCTCATTTCCCCTGAGTTATAAATGCTTTAGAATGACTTAAACTTCGTTACTGCTTTCATCTGTCTTCATTAGGTGTTCTACCTAATGCTGATGTTTGTCCAAATTTTAAGATAGCATTTATCTCTGAGATTCCTATTGGTTTTGGTTGTTTTTAACCTCTATATCTCCTCATAAAATTCTTTGAGGAACAAATAAATTACTTCATCGACCATTGCTTTAACAGTTTGTTTTGCTGTGCTGCTTTTGCCCTTTAGTCAAAGGTCAGGAGGCTTTGTCTCCTGGGTCTGTTTGGGGACTGTTTTATTAACCTCTAAATTCCATAGACAAATAGTAATCTATTTTTATTGAATTTTACTGTATACAATGGTGCTGAAGGCAGTGGGTGTGCCGAAAGTGAGAGCACACACTGACCTTACACCTCCATCAACTCACCACACAACAGGCCAGAGACACATAGAACCCCCACAGTATTTAAAATAAGAGATACACCATGGTATGAGAAACAACAATAACTAGTAAGTTGGTTATTGCTCAAAGTAAAAGCTGTGGACAGGATACTGTTTAGAGAATGAGAGGATAAGCAACAGACACCTGATAAAGAACTCTTCAAAGTCAGTGAGAAAAGAAAAGTTCGGTTCAACGTGAACAAAAGCCGGAGTGGTGATATGTTTCTGTAGTCTGGGAGGAGGAGGCAGGAGGCTCAGCTACACAGGTCATGTTCTACATGAAACCCCATCAAAACAGAACAACCCCAAAAAAGATAAAGTACGTGGCAGATGAGCATAGAAAAACCATGCTCAGCACCATGTCATTTAGAAAGGTGAACTGAAACAATAAAGATACTACTATACACATTAGAAAAGCTACTGCTGACAACAGCAACAGCTGGAGTGGGTTTGACCATACAGAGCTCTCATTTATTGCTAAGGTTAGTAAGTTTAAATTAGCACATTTAATCTTACCATTACTGTCCAACAATCAAAACCTTAAATGTGCATTATTAAGTGAAATAAGTCAACTTGAATATGCTACATTGTGTATATTCCAAACAAACAGAGGGCCGTGAAACTAACCTGTTTGATTTTCAGTCACAGATTCGTGTCATTTTACATCTGAGAATAACAGCAGACATCACGACCCCAGGAGAGAACTCCAGCTATAATGTGCCAACAATGACTTGCTGCTAACACTCAGTGGTAACAGAAAGCTGGAGGTGAAGCTAGGAGCGCACTGAAGAACTCTTGTACTCACCATTCCTTTTCTCCTAAAATCAGCTCATTCGTCCATTCATCCAAACATACGCACTCAGTCACCACCATCTAGTGGCACAGTTCTCGTACTCTGAATTTTTACCCCTTTTCAGACACATGTAAGGTTTCATTCCGAGTCTCCAAGAGTCCCCACTTACTAGTTGTGCTGTGTGATGGGTTCTATATTCATCTTCACTCTGAAAACGTTGCTGAAACTTTTCATTGTGTTTTGCGATACAAATTTCCTAGAAAAATATAAAAATGTGTTTTAACTAAAATGAAACTTATAAAGACCACGGAAAAGTTTATCTGACTCGTTTTCCTGAGAAGCAGAGAGCTAATGAGGACCAGCTCCTCCCTCCTTAAAAAGCAATCTCCACATCTCCGCAGGGTTAGACCTGGCCATTAAGATCTGTCTAACCCTAACAGCAGTGCCTCAGTCCACTCTCTTATCCCAACCTCACTAAATAAGGCTAAGCACACTGGCATCACCAATCAGAATATTTTAGCTGCCTTTTCAGTGGGGGCTACAGGGAATCCTGGAGCTGTGTCCTTTAGTAAGTCACCCCAGAACATGAGGGGCACAAACACTGGCTGTTAAGAATAGATGTAAGAGGGCAACTTTAAGAGAAATAAAAATGTTTAATGTAAGAAGCTGAGAGTAGGTAATGGCTACTTAGTTTTAAAAATGGAAGCAATGATGATAAATCATTTTACAATTTGAAGTATCAGACATGGATCAAGGATGGAGTAATGAATGAAAACAAGGTTTCACTACCTTTTTATTTCTGAGGTAGGCTTTCTTGGCTGAGACGTGCCCCCTTCTTGCTTCTAGCTGTCGTGCCTTCTGCTGCAGTTTCTGGAGCTCTTCCCTCTGTGCTTGCACAGATGCCACCGTCTCCTCCTTCTCCAGCATGGCCTCCATGCTTTCGTAAGTGTCATAGTATACCACTTCATCTCTTTTTTCTGTCACAGAACGAGTTCTTTATTAAATGGTGATTAAAAGGTGATGAAATAAACCCCAGATTAAATTATGCAAAATTTTCAGCAGTGTCTGGTATACAGGAGGTGTTCAATAAATGCAGACCCAACTCTTCCACTCTACGCAGCAAAAGTGCAGAAATTCTAATTCTAGATGAAGCTCCTTTAACAAAGTGCTACAATACTCAAAACCAACATGCAGTCCGAACTGCGGAGTTCATTCACGTTCAAGGACTCCTTCAAAACATTTATGTTCATATTTTTTTAAGTCTTAGGAGAAACACAGTTGAGGTCCATGTCCTTTCTCCACATTCTCTACCTTCTGTGGACCTCTGTAGTTAAATGCACACCATACCTGATATAAGTCTTTTGATGCTCTCCAGTTGTGCGGTCAAAAGTAACTCTTCACACTTCAAGATTTCAAACTGCACTTCATACAACTGAAGCTGCAGATCATAGTAATCAGCTTCAAGCTGATCCAAGTGAGCTATAGCTTCTGTACCTCCCTGCAAACTTTGCATCTGCAGTAAAAATAAAAACACTGCTATTAACTGGTGAAGAAAGTCAACTAGATATTAACACTAATCCAATAAGCTAAATCCCAAAATGAGTACCAGACGGTGGTGGTGCATGCCTTTAATCTCAGGCTTACAGGGCGAGTTCCAGGATAGCTGGAAATAGGGAGAAAACGGGGGCAGAGGGGTAAGAGTAAAGACTTCCGACAAGCTGTGTGTGGCACTGTAGTCTGAGGCTAGCTTGGAGAGCACAGGCCTAAAGTCTGACATGTGAGCTACTTGGGAATTGAAGACAGCAGACTGTCAACTAGGCTAGCCTGCTAAAGAGTTTGTTCAGGGTCAGTAGGACAACTTGTTGAGACATTTATCTCAAAATTAAAAAGTTATAAAAAAAAAAGCAGCTGACAGCTCAGATATGAAAGTCTGTCTACATCTACCATATCACTATTCAGGTTCACTTACACTATCATAAAGTGGTGGGGAGGCAGTGATACTTTTACAAAATATACATAGAACCAAGGAAGAAAGAAAAAGGGCACCTCCTAAACATAAGGAAAACAAAACAAAGTAAACCCAAAAATTTCAAATCAGTAGTAAATCATAAACAGTGAAAAAAGTTTTAATGTAACTTAACACAAAGCATACTTTTAATGACTATACCATAGTTCATTCATATTTAGGGTATCAGTGTATTATCATCGTCCTGACAAATCTCAGTGGTTTCTCTTCTCAGTTCAGAAACAGATGCTGAGTTTCCCCTTGCCACAATAAACACACAGTTGTTTATCATTACAGCAGATTGGGAGAAACCAGTTACTCCGCACCGCGGGGATGGAGAGTGAAGAGAGTATGTTTTAAGTAGATCAGTCTCAGAGAATTGCTTTAGATGAGAAAAGTCCTTGCAACCTATGGGTGATGGTCACTGTTATTTCTGGTAACAAAGAACTTTAATAGAAATAAAATCAGGGCCTGAGATTGGGCCTACACTGGAATCCCACAATTTCTGGGGATACTTCTGAAGTGGTAAATGTCTTGTATGAGCTCGTGTGGCTGGCCCTTTAAGAGGGCTATTTGAAGAAATCAAATTCAGAGAAAGGAGGGTTCAGAACTGCTTCCCAACACTACTTCAAGCAAATGCAGCTTTTCCAGGGGCTCCTTAGGCTTTGCACATCAGACTGTAAGCATCCTTCTAAGAACATTTCTTCTAGAATATAGTACGACTGTTGTGTCTTTAGTTGCCCCAAAAGTCCAGTTCCATAGCCATCAATGTGCCTGGAGATCCTGGTAGCACTGGAGAGGTGACCGCTGGCTTCAAGTGTTTGCAGACGTGACTACCAAAGGCCAGAGGGAAAGAAGGAAAGGAATTTTTAAAGCCTCACTCATGTGAGGCTGATATCCTTTGGGTCCCCAGTTCAGAAGTACTTTCCTAGACCACTGCTCTAGGAAAGCCTATGGCAGAAAGGCAGGGACTCCATATTACTGTTGAATGGTCCCTTTTGTCTTGAAGGTAATGGACACATAAGAGCACAAAAGAATATTTTGAACAAGATTTTAGATTTTGCTGGCTGAGAAACAGGGAGATGTTCAACATACTTAGCCATCAAGGGTATGCAAATCAAAATGACTGAGATTCCATCTTATGATTGTCAAAACGGCTAAGATCAAAAACACAAGCAACAGCTCATAATGGAGTGGATGTGGAGTAAAAGGAACACTCCTCCACTGCTGGTGGGAGTGTAAACGTATACAGTCACTTTGGGAGTCAACCTCCCTCAAGACCCAGCTGTACTGTTCTATACACCCAAAGGATGCACATTCATACCATAAGGACAATTCCTCAACTATGTTCATAGCAGCGTTATTTGTAATAGAACCTAGAAACAACTTACATGTCCCTCAACTGAAGAATGGATAAAGAAAATGTAGTATATTTACATAATGGAATATTACTCAGCTGTTAAAAACAAGGATACCAGAAAATCTGAAAGCAAATGGATAAACTAGAAAAAAAAAAATCATCCTGAGTGAGGCAACCAAGGTATGTACTTACTCACAAGTAGATACTAGCTATAAAATAGAGGATAACTATGCTACAATCCATAGACACAGAGAGACTAGGCAACAAGGAGAGTTCATGGGGGACACATGGATCTCCCTAGAAATAGAAAATAGAATTGATTTTGTGAGTTGACTGAGGGCAGGTGGGGATGGGAACGTGAGCAAGCAGGTGGAAGGGTGGACAGGAGAGTACTGAAAGAGATTACTGGAAGGGGGTAAGGTAAAAATCTGGTACAAGGAAACCTCCAGGAATTTACAAGGATGACCCCAACTAAGACTCCAAGCAATAGCAGATATGTAGCCTGAACTGGCCATCTCCTATGACCAGATTGGTGCCTAGCCCAATTTTCAGAGAGGCTTCATCCAACAACTGAAGGAAAGAGATGCAGATATATAGCCAAGTATTAGGTGGAGCTTGGGGAAAGGATTTTAGGAGCCAGAGGGTTCGAGGACACCCTCTGGACACAAGAAAACTCATAGAACTAAATAACCTGGACTCATAGGGGCTCACAGAGACTGAACTGACAACCAGGAAGTCTGCATGGGACTTTGCATATATGTTGGAGTTGTGTAGTTTGGTCTCTTATGGGACTCCTAATAGTGTGAACAGGGGCTGTCTCCAACGTTTACTGACTTTTGGGACCCTACTCCTAATACAGGGTCATCTTGATCAGTCTTAATACATGAGGAAGTACTGAGTCTTACTACAACTTGATATGTCATGCTTTGTTGATACCTACAGGAGAACTGCCCTTTCCTACGAAGAAAGAGAAGAGTGGATTGGAAGGCGGGAACAGAAACCAGTTGGGGGAGGGACTGGGTGGAAAGGAGGAAGGAAACAGCAGCTGGGATATAAAATATTACAAATATATATGTATATTACATATAAAGGATTTTGCTTTATAATCTAGATATTTGTACAGATTACCCAGTGACTAGAATGCTTTTCCTTTTTAAAAAAGATTTATTTATTAATTGTGTATACAGTGTTCTATTTTCAGGTTTGCCTGCATGCAGGAGATCAGCCCTCATTAAAGATGGTTGTGAGCCATCATGTAGGTGCTAGGAACTGAACTCAGGTCCTCTGGTAAAGCAGTCAATGCTTTTAACCTTTGAGCCTAATTCTTACTGCCTAATGTCAAATACATTTAGTAAGACAGAAAAAGAAATGGTTAGGTTTAGCAGTACACATTGAAAAATAACCCCAGCCAGGCATGATGGCGCCCACAGAAAGGAAGCAGAGGCAGGAAGAACTTTGTTGAGTCTGAAGCCAGCCTGGTCTACACCATTAAGTTTCAGGACAACCAGCGATGAATAGTGAGACCCTGTTTCCAAAAATAATAAAAATAACTCCATGAATTAAGTCTGGTTAAATCTTTCAATAAATTTCATAAACAAGCTATTAAGTAATCAACAATCAATAGACACAAAAGGGCAAACCCTCAACATGGGAAGGGTAAAAAACAAGGAAAAACTGGAGATGTTAGAGGCTCTAGTGGAGAAATATAGATTCTGCCAATGACAGCTATACATCTGGGTATATGGAGTACAAGAAAATGACAGTACAAGCAAGTAGGATTGTCTAACTCCACATTCCACAAAACTTTGAGAACTTAACATTTCATTCTGTCTTTGATGTCAAATCTAATCTCAGAATGCATTTGTAGCAAAACAATCTGATTTTATATTAAACCACATGTAATTCTTATTTTTCCATTTAATGTAACATGTTTTATCACCATGAAATCAACAGCTTCGTGGAAGTTAGCTGCTCTGAACATTATCTTCTAAAATCCCGACATAACTGGAATTCCTCAATGATGGAACACATCCTCAATGATTTCAGGAATGTTTCTGAAACTTAGATGATAATATACATAAAGAAATAAGGAAGGGCCTAAAATACAGAAATTTTCCCATTAGGGAAGGAGATAGAAATATGGCTCAGCAGTTTAAAGCACATGCTGTTCCAGGCTTTCAGCCCCCACATCAGGCGCCCACAACTCACTCCTCTTAAACCAGGGGTCAGGCGCAGGCCCTCCCGACTCCACAGGCCCCAGTACTCACAAGCACATACTCACAGTCACATATATACACACTTAATCCAATAATAACCTTATCTTTTTAATTCCCCTGGGGCTGGAGAAATGGCTCAAGGGTTAAGAGCACCTACTATTCTCCAGAGGACTTGGGTTCAATTCCCAGCACCCACATGACAGCTCACACCTGTTTGTAACTCCAGTCTTCAGAGTTCTGACACTTTCTTCTGAACTACACAGATATTTGTCATGGTCATGATACACAGACAAGCATGCAGACTAAATACTCATATGCATAAAAATAAATAAATTGAAAAGAATTAAAAAAAATAACTTCCTTTTGTTGGGTAGCTCCTGTGAATATCTAAGCTGGATAGCAAAAAAATTAAATAGAGCCAGGCATAGTGCCGCACGCTGAGGCAGGCAGGTGAGTTCAAGGCCAGACTGGTCTACAGAATGAGTCCCAGGACAGCCAGGACTAAATAGAAAAACTCTGTCTCAAGTGTTGTGTGTGTGTGTGGGGGGGGGTGGGATTAAAGTAATATAAATCAAAATATAATAAAACCTTGACGTGTGTATTCTGGAAAAGTAATTGGTTTCTCCCACTCTGCTGTAATGATAAACATCTGTGTGTTTATTGTGGCAAGGGGACGCTGTAACTCAGCATCTGTTTCTGAACTGAGAAGAGAAACCCCTGAGACTTGTGTCGGGACGATGATAATACACTGATACCCTAAATATGAATGAACTATGGTATAGTCATTAAAAGTTTGCTTTGTGTTAAGTTACATTAAAACTTTTTTCACTTTATGATTTACTACTGATTTGAATTTTTGGGTTTGCTTTGTTTTGTTTGTTTTCTTTATATTTAGGAGGTCCCCTTTCTCTTTTTTCTTTGGTTCTCGGTGA